GGTAATCTTTACAAATGTTGCGTGGTTTTTGGCTATCCATATTAGCAAAGAATAGAAAAACAAAACATCGAAAAACAAATAGATGTAATGATGAGTCCTTCTAAAAAAAAGATCAACGAAAACGTTATAATGTGGTACGGACCCAAAAGTCATCAAATAATATATATATCTTATTAACCGAGCGCGAGGGCCGTATTGGGAGAATATCCGCCCGAGATCTTGACATTACGGACCTCGCTTCGCTCGGTCCGTACAAAAAAGACCGAGCGCAGCGAGGTCCGTAAAAAAAAGACCGAGGGCCGATATTCTTCCAGTACGGTCCCGAGCAAGCTTGGTAAATAAGAGATTTACTATACGACTGAAGTTCAAAGGGACACAAACGGTATCATTCGGGGAAAGTGCTCGGTCCAATACTGAGAGAATATTGACCGGCAATGAGCATTTTTATTGGTTGATTTTAGTTATTGGCCCTCTGACTGCCCGAGTCGTGTAATAAAAGATATTAAACTGCAAGCAAAGCCATCGGCATAGGCAGGGTAACCCTGCATTTGGTAATTTTTACAGTGCCAAGACTTTACTGCATTCCTCAGTTCCTTGTAGAGGAACAGAGAGAGGACTAGAGGTAGTCTATGTTGTTATTATGCATATTATGTTTTGCCGTTGTTATTTTAAATTTGAAATATTTCACAGGAATAGTTAACTTGACCTATGATTGGTCCAGGTGTTTCTTTTCCTTTTGTTATTCAAACTTTATTTTTAAGAACAAGCATGTATATATATATATATATGTATTTTGTTTTTCTCTCTGTTGTTGTAACCGTTTTTTGGATGTGAGCGGAATAAAAAGAAGCAGAAGTTTGCTTTAATCGTGTAAAAACTTCAGTCTAACTATATGAAAATTACTTATCTATCATGATGTTTACTTTCAGATTCTTCTAGTCCATGTTTTGAATTTAATTGAGGCCCAGAATGCACGTTTTCTGACGCTTTTTAACCAATTAGAGATTTTTTCGCATGCATTAATTACCTTTTTGACCTAGATTTTGTGTCCAAAGCTCATCCAGATCAAGTTCAATTCCGAAACACCCGGAGTAAATATACCAGTGGCCCTGTTATGATGAAAGAAAAACAAGGATTTTTTTCCTCTTCCTCAATAACATTTACAATAACCATCGGTTGATCAACACCAAGACTCGCCTTGAAAAAGAGGTTAATTCGGAAATGGGTTATAGGAGCCTTGGGTTAGACATTTGGTGTTTTAAAAGCTGCATATTATCAAGATAGTTGGTGAGGACTGCACTTTTATTCGACCATAGTAATGAATGACAGCCTGAGTTTTTGGAATCCCTCGCTGTTGCCAAAAGTGAGGGGAAAAATTGAAGTTGACTATACTCACGGGTCACGTTGTCGTCCGTTTTCTGCACCACGGGTTTTGGTTCTGAACAATTAATGCCTGTGAATGTATCCGTACAGTTGCATTTATAGATTTTTGCACTGGGTGCCGCTACACACGTTCCGCCGTTCTTACAAGGATTAGTGTCACAAACTGAGGGAAAAAATAAAAGTGCACCTTAATAAGTCACGAAACACTAAACAGGTAAATCTTATTATGAGTTATCGTATGACTTGTGAAGCATCGCGTAATNNNNGTCGATTTGTTGGTTTTTATACTCTTAAACACGAAGGCGCGCTATAAAAGGAGCCTTAGGTCCCACTGGACCATTTGTCAATCAACCGTCGTGTGATGTAGAACTCTTAGAGTCAAGTCAGCTTGAGCTACAGCTACTCCAAAGCAGTGAACAGCGGGCGCATTCCTCAAAATTGTTTTATGTCTTCATCACAATACAAGAATTTTTGAGATTTGTATTTCCTTTCTCCAATGGAAACTGTCTTTATTTGTGGCGGTAAATTTGAGATCGAAGTAGGTGGTTCGCACGTTACCTCATGCCCCCATGCTGATGGAAGTAAACAATAGATATCTCATTAGCTCCTTTTGTTCGTCTACCAGCATTTAAATTTGACCCGCACACGTAAACGGTGAGTGACAAGTGAGCTTAGGTCTTCCCAGGGAAGACTTCCTTATATAGCGCGCCTTCATGTTTAAGAACAAGCATATAGACATATGTATTTTGTTTTTCTCTCTGTTGTTGTAACCGTTTTTTGGTTGCGAGCGGAATAAAAGAAGCAGAAGTTTGCTTTAATCGTGTAAAAACTTCAGTCTAACTATATGAAAATTACTTATCTATCATGATGTTTACTTTCAGATTCTTCTAGTCTATGTTTTGAATTTTATTGAGGCCCAGAATGCACGTTTTCTGACGCTTTTTAACCAATTAGAGATTTTTTCGCATGCATTAATTACCTTTTTGACCTAGATTTAGTGTCCAAAGCTCATCCAGATCAAGGTTCAATTCCGAAACACCCGGAGTAAATATACTAGTGGCCCTGTTATGATAAAAGAAAAACATGGGTTTTTTCCCTCTTCCTCAATAACATATACAATAACCATCGGTCAGTGTTATTATATAGAGAAGAGTAAAATAAAAGAGCCATAGTAGACTAAATTTACGTCGACTTCACCAAACGAAAGAAGACAGCTATTTTCAAACTTGTGTTAGGTGGATCGTTAGTTAACCAAACCAGCGTTTTATATCGCTATTGATTTTCACCCAAGATTTAGAAATAGTGCAGTCCAGGATATCCCTACACCGTTGGTACAAGTGACTTTTCAGATCACGTTCCATACTTATGAGGGACATAAGAAATATGAACCGAATATCTTACCAGTCAGGAACGCTTCCAAAAATTGCAAAACACTTCTGAGTTTCCAAGAACGTTTGCTTGTATGCGATTCGTTTCCAGTTCCCATTTACGGTTATAAACACGCCGTCGACCGTGGCCGAATCACTTCCATCACTACAAGAGACTGGTGAATCATGTTCAACTTCGATAATCACTCCGGATCCATTTTCAAAAGATTTCGGCGCCGAAACACCACCTGTTGTTTGTACACCCACCTCATCATTTGAAACGTTGCGCCAATCTTATAGAAGAAAAATACAATTACATATAAATGATACGCCCACTGTGATCATGGTATACACCATAAAGTAAATCGCTCAACTTACGTCTTCTAGCAGAAGTGACCTTAACAAAATGAACGTCTCCAAATCTTTTGTTAACGCTACCAAACTCCGGCCATTTGATGATGTCAGGTTTGTAATACTGATTCTCTAGACCAGAATTGTACCAATTTTTGGTATCACTTTCGTCCAATATGCCTTGCCAGATGTTCACGTCCGAAATCCTTCCGTCAAATGAGCTATCATTTCTGATAGTACCATCAGCTTCCTGATTTTGTCCGAGTATAACTTGAGACCATTCAGCGTTATGGTACTTAACATCGTCACTGGAAATTTTGGAATTGAAGTCTGCATTTACGACCACATCCATATAAGGCGAGTGAGTTTGGACACGAACACAGAAGAAGACCATTTGATCCTTCGGGAAACTCGTGGTGAATACGTTGGAAAGGGTTGTCCTTCGAGAGAAAAAAGGAAACAGTAAAATATTTGTCATAAAATATTCCAGAATTGATGTGGCTGTGTATTTCCAAGAGATTTTCTTAAAAATAACTCGACAACTTCACAATTTTTTCCTGCGTGTGTAACGAGTTTAGCTCCATCAGTTTTGTTTGTTTTCATCTTTGCGGTTGGTTGAGAAATAATAATCGAGTCAAAATCAGCCTTACAAGTTGAAAATATGTAGTTCAAGGAAACTTCGAGAAACACCGCTCCTCATTAGAGAAAGAAGATTTTCGTCTTACCATGAGTATAAGACAAAGAAAAAAATCCTGAGTCACCACAAGGAGTCGAACCTCAAACCTTCGGATTCCGTTCTCCAAGTACTGGCTCTACCATTGAGGCCATGAGGCGGTTACTGAGTTTATTTTCACTGGTAAAAAAGAGTGTTTGTG